TGAATTTCATACCAGCAACTGTCAATGGTCTCCCATTCAATATCGATACCTTCTCCAGAAGATTATGTTTCCTATAGCTCAAGCACAAATTATCGTATAATTTGTGCAGTCGAAAATATATACTTTTCTATTTATTTGAAATACCTAAATTTCGATATTAATTGACCTCTCAGATTGGACGGAAATTCTAAGCTCACATATTATTTAAATTTTTAAAAAGTCATTTCCTGAACCTTTCTCCGTCATTATATATATATATATATATATATATATATATATATATATATATATATATGCAATAAACTGACGACGAACAGAACGAAACTAGTAACTAACTAGCCTAAGCGCTTTCGACTCCTAATGAGTCTTTTTCAAAGGCAAATACAAAACATATATACGACAAACAAATAAATACAAAAACGTTGTGTTTGTAAACCTATACATGGCTGTCCTCACATGTGCTAAAACTATAAATACAACCAGATTGTGTAGACTAGTTTTGGAAACTGAAAACGTTGTATAATTCCCTAAACGTCTACAAGCTAAAGCGACATCTATTTTTACTTTTTGTACATATGTAACGCAGATTATATCCCGGATATTTGATTCTTTACCGGTTATTCTTATAGAAAAAAATTGAAGGATAATAAGAAGATTTAGAAAATGTTAAATTCTACTAGTGCATAGTTTTCATTTTCTAGTCTTCTTGGGTTAGATCTCTTGGTTTCAATGTTCTAAGGCGGCGTATTCAGTATGATTCCTTTCCTTCCTGGTTTCGGAACTCCAGCTGTGGTTGTTAGCAATAGCGATAAGTATTATATCACTGAAAGTGTGGCCAGGGGAGGAGAAGTGTTCTGCGACCGGGATTCTGTACAGCTTTTGTTTTATCCAATCAGATCTATGACGGTTTATCCTTCTGTGTAGTTTTTCAGTTTTTCCGACGTACTGAAGGCCACAGATCTTACATGTGATGAGATAAATCACATTCTCTGTTTTGCACGTTTTGTTTGGACCATGTATGTTTAGTTTTTCTTTAATCACTGTGCTAGTGAATATCTTGGTCTCTATCATATGTTGACAGGTTTTGCATCTTTTATCGCCACAGGGTCCAGATTGACTAGGTTGGTTTTGACTAGCGATTGGCGTTAGCTTTGCCCTGACAATGATGTCCTTTAGGTTTTTTTGGTCTCCGGTAAGCTAGTGCAGGTTTGTTCGGAAGTATTACGTTTAGTATGTCTGACGATTGCAAGGTTTGCCAGTTGTTTGCGATGATTTTACCTACTTTGGGATTGTCTGGGTGATAGGTCAGAATAAATGTTATCCTATCAACCTTTTCTTTCTGTCCATATCTGAGTAGGTCATCACGGTTTGTTTGTTTGGCCCTTTGGATTGCCTTCGCAATCAGGTCTTTGTCGTAGCCTCGGTAAATTAAATGTTTAGCCAGCTCTTCAGACCTTTCTAGGAATCTTTCATCATCGGAGCAAATACTGCGTATCCTCAGCGCCTGGCTATATGGAATGTTCTTAATGCAGTGTTTTGGATGACAGCTGGTTGGGAGGAGATACTGGTGTTTGTGGTTCGTTTCGAGTAGATGTCTGTGTGTAATTTGTTTTCCACCAGTCTGGTTGTTGTGTCCAGGAAAACATGGTTTGAGTTGGAAATTTCTGCCGTGAATTTTATTGAAGGATGGAAGTTGTTTGCCTTTGATATGAAGTCATCCAGACTTTCTCTTCCATACTGCCACTTTATTTCTATATCATCGATAAAGCGTACCCACTGGTATGGTGTACGCTCAACCGATGCTAAGAGCTGACCCTCGAGTTTTCCCCATGAAAATGTTAGCATACGAAGGGGCCATTTTAGTACCCATTGCAGTTCCATTGATTTGTAGGTAGTTATCTTCATTAAATTCAAAGTTGTTGAGTTTTAGGACAAGCTCCAGGAGTTGGACTAAGAAGTGTGTGGGTGGATTGTTTACAGTTCTTGTTTCCCATGCTTCGCTACATGCCTGTAACCCTTCGTTGTGCGGTATGTTGGTGTACAAAGATGTGACGTCTAAGGAAGCAAGTAATGTATCTGGCAGTAATGGTTCACTAGCTTTGCTTTTTATGAGATAATCTGTCGTGTCTTGAAGATATGATGGTAATTTGTGGACATGTGGTCTCATAAAATGATCTAAATATTCTGATATCCTTTCTGTGAGGTGCCTGTTACCTGAAATTATAGGTCTGCCAGGGTTTCCTTGTTTGTGGATTTTGGGTAGAAGATAAAATCTACCTGCTCTTGGGTTTTCTGGGCTTAAGTAGTTCTTCGTTTGCTGGTCTATGTGTCCGCTCTGGTACGCCTCGTCAATAACATTAGTGATGATTTTTGCATATTCCAGCGTTGGATCATGGTCCAGTTTTTGGTAGAACCTAGCGTCATTTAGTTGTCTACTTGCTTCACTAATGTAGTCTTCCCTATTCATAACGACAACAGCGGAACCCTTATCTGCAGGCTTAATTATAATGTCTGTTCTGCTTTTCAGTGAGTGCAGGGCATCTGTTTCTTCTTTTGTCAAATTAGAATATTTGTTAGTATGGTTGATATGTCTGGAAGTATCGTTTTCAACCGAGTTGATAAAGGCTTCCAGATTCGGAATTGAACTTTTTGGTGGAGTCCAGTTACTTTTCTTTCTAAATGTGGGTTGGTCGCAGCTTATATTTTCCTTTGATTTGTTTTTTGGTTGCAAGGCGAAATGTGCTTTGAGTCTTAGTCGGCTGATGAACTCTTTGGTGTCATTCCTAAGCTTCCCTCTGTCGTATGTTTTTGGACGGGGACAGAAACTCAAACCTTTCGATAAAAGTTTTATTTCTGCATCAGTAAGTTCTAAATTGGAGATGTTGACTACTGTGTTAGTAAGAGTTGCATTAGTGTTTGTTACAGAGTGCTTGCGATTCTTCCTTTTGCGGCGATTTTTCTTCTTACGGTTGTTTTTAGAAGAAATTTCGTCAATTGAAGTTTCTTCACAACAGTCCTTTGGTTGTAGATTATAACTTCGAAATTTTCTATCTCTGACTTTGTATAGTTTCGAAGAGAGTCTTTGTTGATGTTTATTTAATTTGGAGTATATATAATTTACGTGTAAACTTCCTTGCAATGTTTACTAATAATTAAAACAAATTGCTCATAACAAGGTCATATCATGTTCCCGAATTCAACATAGAAACGTGCTAATAATGGGGATAGCAAAAATATTGTTATAAACTTAAGCATGTTATTACTTGCTCGACGAGAGGCGACGTAGAATTATGTGATTGAATCCATGTATCAATAAAAGATTTCATGAACCATTCTTTGCCATGTCTTTGTTATCCATAGTCATTTTTCTGGGCACTACCAAACCCCAATAACTTTGCATTTGTGTGTACCTACTCCCCATTTGGTAGCAAGACCACGTGAAGGCTTCATTACCTTTCAGCTAAGTTTACCTGGATCGGGGTTGGAGGTTTTAAATAACAGACCAAAATAGAATATATTCCAAATAAAGAATTAATTATTGCTCTATTGCTCTAGTACAGTAGTCTTTCAGGGATATAAAATAACGATGTACAAAATGTGAACTTTATTTAGTAACCCGTGTGTATTCTTATTTGATTAATATTCAAAATATTGTTGAGAATCTGAGTAATTTCACGTATATTCATGCCAAAGATTTGATAGTTGCTTTATTTTTCAAAGATGACATATTTTATACTGAGCGATTTACTAAAGTGGTTAGAAGCGGTTATATTGCGTGACACTCTAACATTGTACATTAGATGATCATCGTCCCATATGTCACCTTTACTGAAGAAACATTAACTTGCATCCGATTTTCGTTGTTTGTGCTTCTGTATGTAAAAATGTCAATCATACATGTCTTTTGGTTTATTTCATTTTGTTTTGACTTTTTTTAAATTTGCTTGTTTTCAATCAGCGTGTGTTTAATCTCTCAAATGTGTTGAAAGTCTTTTCCTTTCGTCCCGGTTTTTGACGACCCATTCTTGATTTGGCGTACTTTGTTACTACACAAAATACATGTGTGAGTCCTACGTACAGCTTATTTTAAAAATGCAAGTTTTTTTACTGTAATAAATGCATCAGTCATATGAAAAAATATCTTGAAGATTAATATATTTTGTGCGTCAGTTGCAGATATTATGTCACTTTCTAATTCAGAAGGCCATAAATCTTACAAAACACCTGTCATTTTATCCAAAACGATAATTAGAATACATAGATTCGCTGCAAAATATAAAAGTGGTACATGCTTGCATAAAATGGATTCACTATAAAAGCATCAAAACAGTCATACATAAAATGAAATATTAGTTTAAATGTCAGTCCATATTTGACGCAATACTTCTTTTAATTCATAAATGAGCAACGTAAACTTATTGCAAATCAGAATCTATTTGATAGGTAGTCTACTTGTGTCTGAATTCTCTAAAATGTGCACTTCAGATCCGTGTTATATCTTACATAGCTATGCCTACACTTTCACAAAAGAAGTTTACTTGCTCTCATGAAAATGATATTGTAACAGTAAAATGGCTTTGATATTACCAAATTGTCATTGGCATTTTTCCAAATCTGCAAGCTTTCCTGGAGACATACATGCACACCTGATGTGAGCAAAATGGAAAGAAAGAAGGTTAATAATTCTTCCTTAGTAAACAATAATCTCAACGAACTAAATAGAAAGAACTGATTAGATAATATTAACAATATTATTAGTTATTAACAATAATAATGTGATGTGATGATGATTTTTAACGCATCTTTAACAATTTTTCAGTCATATCGCTACAATTGTGTGACAGTTCATTGTGATGTCTAGCACCTGGGCATCATGCCGCAGACATGTAGCATGATGTCCCACCCAGACACATTATCCAGACACCAGTCCTAACACTAACATCTTAAAGCTGAGCGTCAAGCGAGGCAGCTATTAGTACCATTTACGTAAGTCTTTTGTATGACTCGACCGGGATTGAACCAACGACTTCCCGCATTCGAGGCGGACATTCTAACCACTAGGTCAGCAGAGTGGTATAATAATTATAATAATACTAATAATAATATTAATACTACTACTACTACTACTACTACTACTACTACTACTACTACTACTACTACTACTAATAATAATAATAATAATAATAATAATAATAATAATAATAATAATAATAATAATAACAATAATAAACAATAGATCAATGAAGGTTTATTTTGAAACAAAAAAAATTATTGATCAGGTAGAGAGTATGATGACTCTAACAACTAGGCCACCAGAGTTGCATAATACTACTACTACTACAACTACTACTACTAATAATAATACTACTATTAATACTACTACTACTATACTACTACTACTACTACTACTCCTACTACTACTACTACTGCTAATAATAATAATAATTAATAATAATAATAATAATAATAATAATAATAATAATAATAATAATAATAATAAATAATAATAATAATAATAATAATAATAATAATAATAATAATAATAATAATAATAATAAATAATAATAATAATAATAAAAATAATAATAATAATAATAAAACAGTAGTTCAATGAAAGCTTATTTTAAAACAAATAGTAATGGTTCAGGTAGAGAGCATTTAAACGCAAAGAGAATCATTTTAAGCCAGTGTCATTTATATAACCCAAAATTTGTTTCAACAAAGTAAAGCCCATCGTAACATGAGTCTCAATGATCATTACGTGGACTTGTTTAAAAATCCTAAAGATAAATCGAAAGTGCAAGTCATAGCCAAATAATGTGCTAATGTCGTAGTCTTTTCATGGTTTATGGTGACAGCATTTCAATTAATGCAATGCATCATTCAGATTCTACAAAAAATACGTACGAAGATGACACTCAAACCCGACACACCTATTTACCTGTGGATTGAAACCCCACTACCCCCGATCATTTGCTATTTCATACCCTTTTGTTCAACCACTGGTGCTAAGACGGAAAACTTGTCCTGTACACGTCCCCGTCATTGACTGAACCAAATTTACCACCAAAACAAGTTTATAACAACCTTTCGACTGTCTTACATTGCCTCAATATTACTGCACTTCAGTCTCATCTTCCCATCAAATTGTTTCTTGCCTTCTACGGCAGCAGTTGTGAAACGTCCACAAATAATTGCTTCTGTCTTAGTGGCCAGTCTCAAAGAAGTCTTTTCATGGTTTACGGCGACAGCATGTCAATTACTGCAATGATTCAATCAGATTCTACATTGAACTATACGTTGTTTTTTATTTTTACAGAAACAAAGTAGCCTTGACGCAAGTGGCCGATCTTGGTATTGACACTCACACTTAAAAGTAAACCATTTTGAAGCTTGGAGGTAATGGTTCTCTAACATGTGTCATCATTCTTTCCCTCTTAACATGTTATCCAAGTGCTCCCAAAGTTCACCAAAAAGAAACCAGTCCTCGACGTACAGAGATAAAAATGAAAAAGAGCAACGGTGTCAAGATGACATTGCAGCCACAGATATACCAGAAAAAAGAGTAATAGCGTCTCGACCATGTCACAGCTTCAAAAAAAGAAACCTCTACAGAAAACATTTTCTACCCACAAGAGAGCATTTCCAAAAACGTCTACTCCAGCGGTGATACCCTCTTCCTCATTAGCAGCACTGGCCGCTGCTCACAAAGCACTTACCCACAAAATCAAAGTCCAAGAAAGATCAGGCATATTATACTTTATTGAGTTTGTTCAAGTAAGGACGACTGACCCGATTTAGTGCCTTGCAAAATCCTCCACATCGTGTGATGCCTGTCATCAAGTTCTTACGAAGTAAAGACAATAAGTGGCGACGCTTTCCAGTACCTGAAGCAAACCATTTGGATCAGAGAATTTGCGCTCCTGGATGCCACAAGATAGCCCCACTAAGATGTGTGCACCTTCCTTCTTCTGTCCAGAAAAGGAAAGCAAAACGATAACAAAAGGAACGGCCTCTTCGTTTAGCCAATCACGAGAACATGTTGTCTATCCTTACCAAAGCAGACCCGCCTTTGCGAAAAATACTGATTCAAACTGCCCACAAAGATGTTATCGATACCGTGTGCTAATGTTGCCTAAATGTCTTGAAAGGCACGATTCATATGTCTAAATACCAGAAAGAATTGTTAGCCAAACATCGACACATTCTTCACCAAATGGTCCAAAAGAAATTTCTCTATCCCTCTAAAGAAAAAGAAGTTGATGCAACGCGTAGGAAGTTTGCCGCTTTTACCTAAGATGCTGCAGTGGGTATTGGGAACAATGACGGGAGGAATCTATAGAGCACAAATTATAATGATCAACAAGAAAAAAGTAGGACATTGGGGTTAAAAATCTCAGACGTAATCCTTGAAATCTGGTGAAAGAAAGAAAACTGACTTTAGTCCCTTACAAACGATGGTTGGAATAATATCGTTCGCAAGAACTACGAATCCAACACTTACTTACCAATCCTCAATTTACTGAGTTGTCCCAATTGCAACAAGAATTGCAATCGTTGAAAGATTGAAGACATTTGTCTGAAACGGACAATCTCAACGATTCTGTCAGTGTTTGAAACGACTGCATATCTTACATCAAAATGCTTTAGACGAAACAGCTCATCTGACAGATTTTAAGGCTTTAATGAAAAGTTCATCACCATCACTAAAACACCACACTCACTGGTCAAGACAGAAGCAGCCCCACGAATGAATGAAGAAGAAGTAATACGAAAAGACTTTCAAACGCCATCAACAGCTCATATTCCTAGTAAGATTTCAGCTTCGTTGTTGAACACTTTCGCTAAACACGAACGAAAAAAATTAAAGTTTTTGTTGAAAAGATGATGTCCACTCCTCTTTCACAAAAATAAAAAAGAAAGAAACGAAAACAGAACTGACAAATGAAAAGAAGACCAAAGCCATTCTGTTGCCACCAACGCAATCACCATTACCAAAACTAGTTTCGACTTCATCTCCTGTGGCCTATCGGACACGTAAAGAAGTTTATGATCCACCCTGTCACTCCATCCAGAGTGGCATCAGCGAAAACGGGATCAGTTTTTAAAAATGTATTATCTAAAATTTACTACCATCCATCGCGTCCTGCCGGTTACGGAGTTCAGAAATTGTATCATGCTGCCAAAACACGGCTGAAAAGTACCCATTTACCTTAAGTGCAACGATGATTACAAGAGCAAGCCACGTTCACCTTACACCTCACGCATTAGAGGAACATTTTCTAGAAGTTGCACCCGAGTAGGAAACATCGATCATCTGTTTTAAGCTGATTTAGCCGATGCCTCATTTGGTCACCTACACTCGTTGCTACATATATTTTATTTGTGTCATCGACGTCTTTATCAAATTTGTTTTTGTCATGTTATTGACTTCCAAACCGAGCAGTAATTTAGTGCAAGCCCTGAAAATTGTGTTGAAGCCATGTGGTCGTCATCGTCTTCGATGGCAATCCGACAAAGGTACCGAATTCCTGAACCAAACTTTACAAACAGAATTGAAGAAACGTGACATTTTCTTCTCAACCAAGAATCCCGAAACTAAAGCCAGCATTGTGTAACGTACTCATCGCATCTAGAAAGAACAAAACTGGAAATACTGAAAACTGGAACACATTATCAAGTACATCAACATCTTGCCTCACCTCGTTCAATCTTACCATTGGAGCAGTGGACGTGCCCCCCCCCACACACACACACAAACATTTAGTTACTCCCGACAAGGAAGTGCCGTCTTCGTGCGCCTGTTTGGTACATCCCCGTCAGTAACTGTTCATAAGAACGGTGGAGTGATGGCCACAGGAGAATGGAAAACCAAAACCAAGGGTTCTTATGACAAATGTTACTTACCTAAAAGGACCACCAAATTGTTTCGTGTCAATGAACGATTGGGTGATTGTTATCCTCCTGTCTATAAATTGGAAGAAATCAAGGCGATCTGTTAAAAGAAACGTTTTACTTACACGAGTTACAACCTGTGAACAAAATGAAGACGTGTATGAGATAGAAATCATTCTGGATAGAAGAACACAAAAGAGCAAAAGAAGTCAAAGTACACTGAAAAGGATATCCATGTCGTTTTGACTCTTGAATCATCGACTAAATAAAGAAGTGACTGTCATGTGACTCTTCAACACAGTCTCAGCTACTATCGTGACCGCTACTTTCCGCAGTTCTGTTCTGCAAGATCTACAAAAGTAACCCTAGTGGGCTCGTTGTGGAGAACTTGTGCCTACAACGCAAATCGTCGTTTTCTTCCAAAGTTTTGGTGGATATTGTGTCATCGGTGATGTCATTGCCAATCTGAGTTTGCAACAAGGAGACAAATGTGGATCATTTTACTCAGCAGTTTCATTGGTTACATTCTTTCCAATCCATCTCTGAAACATTCCTCTATCGGAAACAACAACGGGAGTCTTGTGTCAAACGTTAGTTCCAACATTCACTCTAACAATACTCTTTTAGACACTCTTCTGACTTCCAGTGACTCCTAGTACATTAGAACCGTGAAATAATGAACAACCAATTTTACTTAACGTAACTTAGTGTCAGTTCCATGCAAGTGTTATCCAATAACACTTTGTGCCCATACAAGGTCAGATTACCTCAGGCCATTCACTTGCATCACGAAGCCCATTGGTATGTGGCTTTGTTGGATATGATTCACCCTACACATATCAAAATAATTGTTGAAAATCAAAACAATTTGCCGAAAAAAGTTTATGACGATGAAATGCAAAAAGCCATAGATGAAATCAGTATTGTGGCTAATTTTGTCAAATTAACAGACCCGAAAAGTCAACGAACCATTATTTCAGTGGTCAAAATTTGGTGAACACTAATGAGAGGTTGAATTTCAAGTTTGCTAAAGCCTTGGAGAGAGCCAAAAAGTATCACGAGCGAGTCCCACAAAATATCTTGTCACCTACTGATGAAATTTAAGGAGGACAAATTATTGATCAATACATTGTATCCTAAACTGTATCACATTTTGGGTGGTGACCCCAATT